CAGGCTCTGAGCTGTCAGCACAGAACCCATTGTGGGGCTCGAACCCACAAACTGTGAGATCATGACCTGAGCCGAAGTTGGTGCTTGACCGACTGAGCCACCCAGGCGCCCAGTCTACTACTTTTAGACACACCCACGTGCTCCATGTGTACCCTCACTATATTTCACCCAGAATAAACATGTGATATGGGAGGGAAGCTCATGGAATGTGACCTTCAGTGTTTGTCTTCGGCTCTTCTGCCCCCTAAAAAACGGCCTAGTCTTTTAGGAAACTCCTTTGGCCCAAAATGAAGGTATGAGATTCTCTGGAGTGTTCTCCAGCATCCAGCCCTTGTCTGAACCCTGACTTTTCTTCTCTCAAGGCAAAAATGTCCAGCCCTACTGAGACTGAGCGGTGCATCGAGTCTCTGATTGCTGTTTTCCAGAGGTATGCTGGAAAGGATGGTAATAGCTGCAAACTCTCCAAGACAGAGTTCCTAACCTTCATGAATACAGAGCTGGCTGCCTTCACAAAGGTACTGCTCCCAGCCCCTTCCCCCAAACTACCCATAGCTCAAAACAAGACCCTGACAAAATGGCTGGGAGTGAGGGCCCAGCAACTGACTCCCCCACCCCTGCCTCCTCTTCATTCACTCCAAGCCAGGGACCTGCACGGCAGAGGCGGAGCCCCCAGGCCTCAAGTGAGCTCTGAGTAACCATTCAAGGACCTTTCCTTCTTTTCTTTGAACACGGTGTGTTTTAAAGATCAAAGTTCTCAAACTACATGACCCAGGGAATGTTGATTTGTTTCTTTCATTTAGGGAAGGAGCATATGAAACGGTAAGTGGTGTAAAAGGATAGTTTTCAAATTTGATTTCTCCATCCCAAAGCTTCTAGGGAAGCCCTGTCCCATAGAACTTTCTGTGATGTTGGAAATAATGTTTTGTATCTATCTGCACAGTCCAGTGTGGTAGCCACCAGACACAGGTGCCACTCAAGGACAGATTTCTAAGTCCCTAATTTAAACAGCCAGTGTAACTAGTGGCTGTAAGTGTGTATATGTGTGGGGAGCTCAGAGGAGTAGAAGATGAAGCAGATCAGGGCCTGCGTCTTCTTTCCACTTCAAATCACTTCACTTTTGTGCAGTTTGTACACTGGAGTAGCAGGTGACACTTGAAAAAGTGTGCCACTACTTTTATACCACTGAATAACCCCTGTCACAGAGGAACCCGGGAATGGGAGCCAGAAAACTTGGGTTCCAGGCACAGGTCTTCCCCTTAGGCGAGTCACTTCCCTGTTTGAGTCTGTCACTGTGTCTGGGAAGTGGGAGTGTTACTAACCCCTAGCCTGTACCTCACACTCTTGTGAGAATGAGATGTGGCAACATAACTGAAAGTATCTTAGAAAGTACAAGGTCAGGTACCATTAATAGTATCATTATTATGGTTATTATTACCTTTGCAGAACCAGAAGGACCCTGGTGTCCTTGACCGCATGATGAAGAAACTTGACACCAACTCCGATGGGCAACTGGACTTCCAAGAATTTCTTAATCTTATTGGCGGCTTGGCCATAGCTTGCCACGACTCCTTTTTAAGGTCTACCCATTTCCAGAAGTAAATCTGAGGGGGGCTCTTGGGCCTGGCCTGCAGACCACCCCCTTTCCTTCAAAACAGCCTCCCAGTCATCATCTCCTCATCACATCCTACACGTCCTTGAGCCCAGAGCATC